GGAATGTTCACAGAATTCCGATGTAGCAGCCGTGACCGTCGATTTTTTGTATCTGGTAACAGTTGCAAAATTCAATACTGCGTATAATCACATCGTACAAGGAAGCAGACGTTAGTTACGCCGCGTAGGACCGTTCACGCCCGATTCCGCTTCGGAAGACCAAATTCTCTCCTGAATCTTTCCAAGGTGGTTTTCCCGACCGGAAATCGATCCCACGGTGACTCACAGGTATTCACTTGTCAAGGGTGACGTATCGAAAAGCGCACTTTCGGAATGAACGAGGTTTACTTGATATATGTCGTGTTGACCACGAATATCTGCGACCTACCCCACAAGAGTTGTAGTTACAGAATAATGCTCCGGTTCAAGATGGGGAATGTTACCCCTTCCGGACGCATGCGCATTTCTGTGCATACCCCTAGCCGGCGAAGCAAAGTGACGGAGTCCTGGGGTCTGGCGGAGGCGGCAGGACTTTTTACTCGATAAATAATCAAAGGGACCGAGGAGGGTGACTCGATGTATACACTGGGCTTTATAAAGCTCTTTTTAAGATACGAACAAGGAGATCGTAGTCGGTTAACTTATTTTTTACGCAGCTTAACTCTTCTTTTTCCGATATTTCTCACAATATTTTTTTATTATTTTCTACAAAAATTAATCAAACGGTTAGAGTAAACTAAGGTTTTATGGCCATATGGAAAAGATGGCCGTAGGCCATAATTTCTCCAATAATTGATAAATAGTGCATTTTTATAGTCATTCTTAAAGATAATCAATATTTACAGTAGTTCATATGAGTACACTGTTCAAAATAACAATATTATAAATATTATCTAATATTTTTTCTTTCGACTATCTGCAAAGTTTTGCACGTGTCTGCTAAAAACTGTTATAATGTCTAATAAATTACAGTTAAGCTGCCATAATCAACATTACATACACAATAAAGGTATGTAAATTGTAATATGACCTATAATTAATACTTTTATTTTCATTATTTATTTATAAATACTATGGCTATCTTTCTTAATATCGTGGCCATCTTTTCCCTAAAAATCAGATAAGATGGCCAATACATACTTTGTAATATTTTGATAAAATTAAAGTTCTGTTAAGTATTTTCTCTTTAATTTCGATAGTATTTGTTATTTTAAGCTTCAGTGAAAGTAATATCCCAAATATTGTTAAAAAATAAGAAGAATAAATGTATGTTTTTTGCATTTTAAAAAACTATGATCATCATACCCGAGTTTATCCTAATAAGATATTGTTACTTATATGAATAAATTTTATGGAAACAAAATAAAATTTTAATATTTTGAAAATTGTTTATAAAATATTTATAAAATATTAAAGAAATAATGTATAAATCTATTTTATTCATTCTAATCAGATATAATGACGAATAAATATTTTTTTATTATCTCTAATTCTTAGTCCTAACGTTATTAATAAAATAAAAAAATTTTAATCCCACATTAATGAAAATTATCATTATATTAAGCGCTTAGGATGATTCATGTATATTACAGTTTATTATAAATTTGTAATATTTATATGAGAAAAAGATATATTACAAATATATTAGAGAAATTTTTGAATAAAGTGTTAAAAATGTATACATTTATTTATAAAAGTTTTATATACATACACATACTGTATTAATATGATTGATAGCATGTGTGCAACCTCATGTAACGTTACGCACATTATTTTTACGTAACTATTATACGTCTTTAATGGTCATTCGACTATCGTTCAATCTCAAAAATGAAGTTTTGGTTTTATATATTATACGTATAAAATATTTCTGTAAAAAATTTTATAAATTTGTTTGGAGCATAAATATTAGATAATTAAAAAAAATCTTATCACACAGTATATATAAACGTCGCGGCGCGCTGATACTTGTTGTTTACGTAAATTAAATATTCTCTGCGAAATTGACGCGCCACATTCGAGGATATGTTTTCCCATGAGCATTGCTCAATCGAAGAGCTCTTCGATGACGATCGTTCAGTGAACATTGACAAGTCCCTTCAACATTCACTTGATTGCTCGCTGCAATTGCTCGGTATCACGGTGTGACAGCCGCGTCGGTTTCGCAATTGCTTGGCCGAGAATTTGTCAGGATCCTGAAAGCCAAACCCGTATTGCAATCATTAGGATTTTTCTCGGAATTTTAACGAATTGCAATTATATCGCATTTGTTTAACACAATTAGGATTTTCTTTAAAATTTAAATAGAATTTCTAAAAAGTAAGAATTTTTTGCCTTAAAGAGGTAACTTCAGTTTACAATCTACACTAATTTTAGTAAAATAAAATTTTGATTTTATATATAAAATGTTTGTATAAAGATTTTATAAATTCTTTTGGAACACAAACATTAAATAATTCAAAATCTTATTGATATATATATATATATATATATATATAAATATATTATCCTTTATTCGAAAATTAAGGGTAACAGGAAATAATAAAATGAGACGTAAATCTCTCTCTCTCACACAACATACACACATAAATTGTTACCTGATTGTCATTGGCGCCTGTCACCGTGTGAAAGGATTTCATCGATATTTTTCGCTGCATTTCCCTGAACGGGGAGAAATTTGGCTGCGGCACCCAATTCGTTCCATAAGAAATCGGATGTATATCCCCACGCTCAGCGTTGTTTGTATCGTTCAACATTTCTGAACGGCCATCGTCGCAACCTATACTGATTTCGCCGTCGTCCAATATCGCGTTCGTTTCAGCAGATTCGAGAATCTCCTCTTGCGCTCTGAGAACAAAAATATGTTTTTATGATACAAACAACATTTTTCTCGTTTTATTTCCTTCTTCTGCAACGAAAGCTAATGTACGAAAGAAAATAATTGAAACACGAATTGCAATACCAACCCGTCCTCTGACCATTCCATATATAATTTGACCACCACAAGCGCGTTTCGGAATTTAGCTAAAGATTCTTTAACAAAAGTTTCCACGCGATCTGTACAGTTTGCACATCCCAAAGCGGTTATCGCAATCAACATCGCGATAATCCAACTAATAAAACCGGCCGACATCACCGGTGGCTGTACGCGTACAGGATAGTATGAAGACCAGACATGTTGCCACCAGGGATATGAAACATCTCGATATTCAGATTCCTATTAATTATAGAAATTTTCTAAATATTATATATCACATAGAAGGTTTAAATTAATTATTATAATTAGTACAACTGATTATCACAAGTCTGTATAAAGTAATTATTATATAGTGAATTTAATTAATTACATTTTGTAATTATCTTCTTGTAATCATCTAATTTTAGGCTTAGTAATTAGTTTATACAGACTTATAATAATTAATTATACTAATTATAATAATTAGTTAAGACTAAAATTTACTTCTAGAAAATACTATAATATTTGATTCTTCAGGAAAAGCTTTAGAAAATTATTTCCCTTTTTTCTACATATATATTTTCTATTACATAAAAGTGGACAATTCAAGCGTTACGAAAGCAATTTCTTTGTTATCGTTACGAGAAGAATATAATAACGAGTCCACTCACGTAACTCCAATAATGCCAGACGCTGCAATAGAGTATCCTTTGGAGGATCAGCCATAGCCATAAAAGAGCGTTAACTGCGAGCCAGCTAACTGACACCTTGAAAGATGCACGTGTATACAGAAGGGCGTTAACACGTGAGATGCGGTGATTTTTGTACCTGAAATACTTTATAAATAAATGTCGCGCCTACGATGTTCATGAGCCGCGTGGAGGACGGAGGATTCTTCCAGAGGATGAGTACCACGGCCATCAGGATTAGGAAGGATGGCAGCGTGTGAATAAAGTCTGGCCCAACTGCGATTTTCGCGTATTCACGGAAAACCTTGTGTCGCAGAAGTAGAATCTCATTGGGCATGGAGAGCAGGGTCCCTATCTGCGTGTGCAACGCGCTCAGGCAGGACATCACTGACAAGGGCTTACGCGTCAGCCTGGCCTCTCGGAATTATCTGTCACCGCGAAGGAACGAATCGCGGTTATAATAGTTACATCCAGTTACATCGAAATGCCTGACGTGCGCTGAAATGAACCGTGTACCGCCTATCGTTTGTTCGAGGAAGGAACGGGTGACAACGGCGGAAACACTGATATATTCTCGATAGATATGTAGATTCGCGCACTAATTCCGTTTGTCAGTGTATTATGGAAGTGTTGAGGGTACCTATTATGGAACACGTCGGAATGAATTCCGATTCATTCCATGATAGGTACCCCGCATGGATTACGCATATTATATATATATGTATAGTATCCAAAACAGATTATGTGCATGGTAGAAATATTCTATAATATTTCTACCATGATCATGTGTATTACGGAAGTGTTCTGAATGGATTTCGGTCGAAATTGTTCAATTATTCTTTAGATTTCTATTATTTTCTTCTCTCTAAAATTTTTTTAAATGAATTTTGAAGAATGAAATCTCACTCTTAAAAATTCATAATTGATCGAGCCTTTTTTTTAAGATTGGCTTAATTTTTATTTTTTATTGTGAGATTCTATTCTAAAAAATTTAAAGAGTAAAAAAACGGAATAATTCCAATCGGAACCCACTCCAACTAGTCACGTGATAGGAGCTCAGTTCTGGGATGATTCATCATGATGATACGTTACTTAAGTCGGTTATTAAAAGTTGAAAATTACGAAGTTGCGCTATACGTTAAACTGCACATGCCCTGAAATAGTTGATTAATAACTAAATTATAAATCAATATATCCTTAAAGTTTTTTGAAGTTAGAAATGGAGAAGTTGTAAACAGATTGGCATTCAATTAAAATTTTCCCGATAATCGGATTTTCAAGAAAAATAGTGGTCGATAATTTCTGAACGATTAACGAACATAAATGAATATTTATTCATAAAAATTCGTAAAGTTTATTTAACGATAAAAATACCTTCTATTCGAAGCGCTATTATTATATACAATTATATACAATTATATATTTAACGATTAAGCAGTCTATATAAGGAAGTAATCGGGTCCAACGAAAGATCCACATTTTGGAAAATCCTGTGGCGGCGCCACCATGTCGCTAGGTTCCCCAACTTGCAAGATAACATCTAAGCCACGAGTCCAATCGGTTGCGTGCTCATCCCGCAACATCCAATAACCTATCAAGTCAAATAAGAGTTATATCGAGTTAATAAGTTGATAGTTTTATTAGGTCGGTCTTTTAATTAATAAAAATATTATGGGTGGTATTTAATAGTTCCTTCTTATTTCAAGACTGTTTTAGGTAATGTCTGCTAATACGGCCCTCTGATTGGTTCGTGACTTCTTAAAACTGTACTTAAGACGGTTTTGAATATAAGATCTGACTACGAATACCGGCCTAGATATCTTAATTATTAACTATTAACTATTAACACCAAAACCGCCGATGACACTCTGTTAAAAACTGAAAGATGTCAATTTAATAATTTCCTATTTTTTTCGGTGTTAGTGAGAAGTTATTTTGGTATTATTACTGTATCATTAAAATTATTTGTATTATATACACATATTTTTAATATTCTGTTCTGTAAATCTAATATAAACGAGAAAAAAAAATGATTAGCGGTTTTAAGTTAAATTAAGATTTGAATTTAAAGTCAAAAGTTTTGCTATTTATTATACAGTTTGAAATTCAGTTTGCGAGGAACTCTTTATTTCTAATCTAATCCCATCAATTGCTAATATCTTCGTATATTTTAACAATAGAATTATCTTCAATTTGCTAAACAAAGTTACCCAATTAGCAATTGAATTTGAATAGAGATTTTATACATTAAGTATTTGTATCAGTTTAATAAAGAAAAGGTTTACCTGGATTGTCGGCTTTAAATCGCAGTGCCACTGCACCAAACTTAGGCACGACGATGGTATCCTTGATTAATGCGCAATCGAGACTCCGCGAGAACAGTTGGCTTCTCTCATCAAGTTTTTTCAGCTCTTGCAGTGATACACTTCGCCCAAATTGTCGGGCGCCCACCACGTAAAAACTGTAGCCGTGTAGATGATAAACTAGATCATCCAAACCGCCTATAACAAAATAATAGATTAACCTATAACGATAATATAATTTTATAATTGAGTAGAATTCCTCGTAGCAAAAAAATCATTGCCGAATTTATTATTTATATTATTATTATTATTATTCGTGACTTCAGTTAAAATTATTTTAATAATATTGAATTATTTTATGATATCAAACTACATTATGATACTATAGGTATATACACTGAGAAAAAAATGTTGTTGATTCAATTAAAGTCTATATTACGGGCTGTCACTAACATAAGTAATTAATTCATGTATATTTTTATTGACATAAAGGCATAACTTATTATTTCAATAATCAAGCTTTTATGTCAATAAAATATATACATGAATTAATCACTTATGTTAGTGACAGCCCGTAATATAGACTTTAATTGAATCAACAGCATTTTTTTCTCAGTGTAATAACTGACTTATATAAATTATAAAACTACTAAATTACAAACAATACTAAATTATATAAAAAATGTTTATAGCATGAACGGGTCTAACAGAAAATCCATAAAAAAAACCTGCGTCGTGTAAAAAATGGTCCTTGAACAAACGGCGAATGAAGATAATTTCACGAGAAATATCACGAACCGATAGTCGATGCTGAAATTAGTTTCGTGTAATTGAGAAGCTTTATGAAAGAGACCAATCGTTCCACGTGCTGTTATAGGAAGACGCGGGATTTCTCCCGGCTGTCGCAATTGTCTTAAAAGAAATCGCAATGACGCGTCAAATATTTTTCAAGCGAATAATATATACCTCCCTCATCAAAAGTGATTTATGATGATGAGAGCCTTCATCAATAACTTTAGCTTTCGCAGCCAATACAAGATGTAGAGATATCGGGGTCGTAAATTCTATTATGCTGCTAATGTTCTCTCACATGCTGCTTCACTCATTTTGTAAGATTATCCCCAAGCATGTGCTTGGAGGGACTATGTAATAATTAAATTAATGAGTTACGCTGTACAATATTACGCAGAAGACCGTATGCCTTCAAACGAATAGCATAATAATTAGTGCCTGCAGTAACCTTGTCACATTCCGTATTAATTTGCATTGTCTTAATTAAAGATTCTGACTAAAGTTCAATATTATGAGTATTTGATGATTTAAGAATTATTTTCTTATCTCTAATCATAAAATGCTGAGAATCATTAAAAATGTATTTAAATTATTTTGACCTTTTCTTAGTATATTTTCAAATTTGCCAAATCGTACAATATTGTTGAATATGGGATTATTTAATTATAGTTCAATGTAGCCAAATAGTATGCAAACTTTATAAATGTTTTGAAATATATATATTATATACTAAAAATATATTTATATATTCTAAAGATATGTATATTAAAATACCGTCAAATATAGATGATATATTCGAAGGACACAACTATAAATATTCTATAAAAAACTATATAATATTTTATGTAATCTCTTTTACAAAATATTCTACGTCTTTTTATATGTGGGTTTGATCTTGTTCGTATAAGTTTAGTACGTAGCAGTTTAAAGCAGTTAGTTGATAGCAGTTAATAAACTGCACATGCGCAGTGTGCAATTCATTAACTTTACGAATATTCTGTAGAACTTTCTAGAAATGTTCTTTTTATTACAAATAATAATATAAAACATTCTATGTATATTCATAAAACGTTCGATTCAAATATTCCGAGATTATTTGTATTTTTAAAGATGTTCGTAGAACATTTTGTGTTATCTTATAGGTATATTTTTATCATTGAAGAGAAATATATATAATACCGATAAAAAAGGAAGAAAATTAAAGAAAACTCTTTAAGCCTCTCATAAAATTGCCTGTGTCTTTCATGAAAAAAAAATGTTGCTGGTTACAGCTAATTCTAATTAGCTGAAATTGCAACAGCTACATACAAATGATTTGCTGCTGTAGCTAATATAAGAACGTGACAGCAAAGTATGCATGTCTGTTACAGATCAATTTATTTAGCAGCATAAAGTTAGTTGTCATAGTTATCGAATATGTCCGTATAAAAGAAAATTGTTTCTACCACAGCTAAATATAGTTTGCTGAAACTGTACTGCTACCAAATTGTCTGCTACACAGGAAACGTTTGCTGCAATGATTAACAGATCGACATAATAGCGAAATGCTTGTATGTTACAATGATAATATTTAGGCTCACAGCTAATAGAAATTAGACCTCATAGATACGACGTTAGGTATCCATATGTTACGACTGGAATTTAGCTACCACAAATTTTTGCTGCTGCAACTAACCTTTTTTTCCGTGTTCTTTAGGCTTTCTACACATTAAAATCTGGACGAACATCAAGATTTGAATGGAAACGGAAGAGAAAATAAAAAACGCGGACAACTTAAATTAATTAGAAATGTACACGAGAGGAATAATGTACACGCGACATTGCGAGCTAATCGCATTTGCGTTTTAATTACGTTCAAATAAGACTGATTACCTTGGTCCAAGAGAATAATCTCGACAGTTGCTCCGAGCGGCACGTGGCGCACGTGTACGCACTCGCATATGTCATCAGCGCCGACGTCGCCGACCTGACGGCATCGGCGTCGCGACATGGTCTCATTGCTCTCATTGAGATCATCCTCGTTGTCATCCTTGTTGGTGCACAGCATCCCCGGGGACACGTCTCCACCTTGGGTCAACAGCGGTGACGGCGGAAATGTGAAAGTGACGTTGTTCACATTCAACACTCGCGTCTCCGTCCCACTGTTACCTGAAGAAAACGAAAGATGTTCGCGTTGCGATTAAATAATCAAGTTTATATCGCACACACATCGCTCTCTCTTTCTCTTTTTTAGTTTAAAGTTATCCATATAGTCTTTTTATCAATTTAATTACGCCGTTTTCTCGATGTGCACTGCGAAGCGAGCGTTAGGAAATTTCTTCTCCATGTGTATGAAAAGGTGATGATTATATAAAGATGACTATTACGACATTTGTAAAGTGATTAATCTTTACAGGAAAGCCACTATAGTGGCATTGAAATAGTACTATATTTTGAGATAAGAAATATAACAAAATAATGAATTATAAAAAATCTTTGGGAACAGCTGTAAGATTCAAAAAATAAATCTTCGTTCTCTCTAGAGCTTAATGAAAATGTAGTTTCACTATCAGTGCCTTGTTTAGTAATAGTTATGAGAAATTAATAAATAAAGTAGTACGATTTTGAAGGACATAAAATCTGATCTTTTAGTTTTAGTTTGGTTCTCTTCTGTTTGGTATCTTTTAGTACTCTCCACACAATAAGATCAGGATTACAAAACTTGAACCTCGAAAATTGTATTCAAATCTTATTTCATTTCAGAATTATGTTGGAAATTGTATCAGCTTACCCTATACATCGCAGCTTCTTTATTCGCTCAATTTAATATTTTCATGAAATACTTAAGCTAATAAAATCGCGTAACATTTTCATTTCAACCAAATTGGCCGAAATTTAAGAGTGACACATGTTTATATATTCGTATTTTTTTTTTAATTTAATTTATCTTGAATTTTTAATAATAAATAGTTTTTTACATTATATAAAAACTTTAAAAAGTTTTTAATACAAAAAATCATTATATATATACAACAGGTTTAATGATTTAATGTTATATATACATATATAAAACATTAAACCTGAGAATAAATAAATTCTCAATCCACCAAAAAATTAATCGAAAAGAAGTTCTGTGATTATAAAAAAAAGTAATATTTGATAATGGTGAAAGTGTTTTCTAACCCAGATACGCTATTACGTACGAAGTATACTCGGTAGCAAAATTTTAATAACCCGGATTTGAATATAACATGATTAATATGATGAATGAAAAAAGCGGTGAAACTTAGGAGGCAGAATTTTATCCAAGCCTGCCCGCGTTAATTAATGCCCCGTGCAATTACATCCCGATTGCATCTTAATTCGCACTTTCACTCCCATTAGGGGCTCCTATTAATTTTTTACACACCTATCAGTTCCGTCGCTTGCATCTTGTAATTAATCGGTAGATACAGTGTCACGTCCGTCCCGGGCTTAGTAAGGGTCTGCGGGATTTTACGAATACTTTGAATATCCATAGCGCATAAATTCTCTCGGTCGCCGCATTTCTCGGTAGGATTCGTCGTCACGGCCACCCGGTCTGTTCCTATCTCGTCGATATCACGCTGATCGATAACTTCCGCCGTTGCTGCAGGATTTTCCGAATTGCCTTTGTAGTTGAGCATCGCTGCGCCATTTATCGTGCTCGTTCCACATTCTTTCGCTGTGTGCACATTCATCCAGTAGGACCCGATGCGTTTGCTCGCTTTGAGGACGAAGTCCGCTCTTTCACCTTTAACGAATATTGAAGACTATTCATCAGTCTCAGCGTATTCGATGAAAATCGTGAGAAATCGGGAAATGAAGTTTTGCTTTGAGCAACGGTAGAGTTAAGGCTATCGATCTTATAGTATTGAAGATCCTAACTTTCTTGTAAATCTCAAAGGGTAAACGTAGAGAACGTACGAGCGAACGTTCTACTTAAGATCCGATACATTTGAAAGTGGAAGCGTTTAAGAAAATAAATGTCATCACTTGCTATGTGAATTACAACTGAAGAATCGATAACTTGCGAGACTTTTGCAAAATTTTTACGTTTTTGTGTCTATATAATATTTCTATAATCTTACGCAATCAATTCCTTAATGGAAAAAATATGAAGCATGTAAATTGTGGAGGCGTTTCGATCAAACGTATTCAATTTTCCTGACAATATCAAAAAATCGTTAAACCTACACTGAAAAACAATTTCTTAAATCTAAGTAATATTTTCTTAAATAATATTAATTAAATATTTCTTTACTGCAAATAAACATTTATTAAAAAAGAAACATATTTAAATCAAATAATATATATTTAAGTTTAGTAAACATTTATTTGCAATAAGGAAGTGTTTACTTAGTGCTATTCAAGAAAATATTACTTAGATTTAAGAAATTTTTTTTCAATGTACACAGAAAAACGATAGAGTATCTAAAAATTTACCTAAATAATTTTGTTCTGAAAATAAATTATTTTGTTGGACCATCAAAATAATTATGTAGACTGCTTAAGCGTTGACGATAACACTGCAGAAAGTTTTAATATTGGCTGTGTCTGACAGAGAAAGCAGCTTTGCAACTGTCGTAAAGTTCTTTAATATGATTGATCCTACCCTTAGTTCCTCACTGGGTCTAAGTATATAAACCAATCATATTAAAGAATTTTACAACAAATTGCAAAGCTGCTTTCTCTGCTGAACGCAAGCAGCTTGAGCTTCTTACATAATTATTTTGCTAAATGCTTGAGCAAAAATATTCTTTTTATGCAGTATCGACATGTCGCATGTCGATAAGGATTGTACAGAGATCCGATTACGAAGAAATTAAACGAAACTCCAACCTTTAGCCAGAGTAATCGATGTGACTTGTCGTGGCTCTATAGGATGTCCGTCAAGCGCGATCAAGAGAAACGAATGGCCATCGATGAAAAGCGTCACCGGACATGCACCAGCGCCTCCGGCATTAGCGATACGAAATCTATGACGTCGTCCTGGAATGACCGTGAATGAACTTAAAGGAACTGCGGGTCCGTTGGGTTGACGACCTTTCCCATTGATTAAAAGAATCGCTGGTTTCAAATAACCCTGATTAAACGATACTTCCGGAAGCGAATGTTGCCATTGGGTCACCAGGACTACGTGATTGGGATCGTCGATGTCGTAAAGGGCGCGATGAGGTTCTCGAAGGTCCGCTTGTCTCACGATCAATGATCCGATAATGCCATCCGTGACATCGGCTCCTGAAAACATTTTTTTTCAAAAAACAGGTCAGTCAAACAATTTAAAAAAATCATAATTAATAATTAATAATCAAAGATAAATTGATAATATAAAGCTAGTATCAATATCACGAATCATTAAATTCATTGATTATATTTAATCTAAAACAACTCACGAATCATATCATGAATATCTGCACGAATCATTAAATCCATTATTGTATAATTACATTTAATGTAAAATAACTTGAAGATAAAAACATTTTTAAATTAATTTTGAATTTCATAAATAACTTTATAGATAATTAAAATTCGGGAAAATATATTTTTATAAATAAATTTAGCTTTAATTTATTATTAAATACGTTAAACAAATGTATTAGTAGTTTAATTAATTCAATAGCAATATTATAAATTGCAAAGTATATAAATGTTAATTATATATTTGTAATTTTGTACACATTGCACAATAAATACTTATTATTATATTAATTTTGTAAATTTTTTCGATCGCGATTCATGAAACATTCAACGTAAATAACAATTAGCTAGCAACCTGCATGTGCATGCCAGAGATGTGTGCCGGGTATGGAAGCACGAAATTTATATTGAAAAGTGGTGTAACTTGGTATTGGACATTGTGTGACCAACGGAGTGCCATCCATGTAAGGCATTTCCATTTGCGCTTGTCCTCGCCAATGCACCGCAGCTGCTTTACCAGGAAGACGATTTATTACATCCACCACTAGGATATCGTTTTCACAAACCTGTAAAAACGTAAACTTGTATGAAAGTTCGCAATTAGATACTTAATTTTAAAAAAAAGTCGATCTAGATATGTTTACTGTGACATTGATTAAGATTGTGCCGACATCAGATCATGCAAAATAAAATAATCGCACAATATCTAAAAGAAATTTTTTAACAATCGCATCGTAATGCACATTGAGAAATTAATGCCTAATTGAATTGATGTTTAAAAAGATAGTTTCGAATTGAATTAAAGAAGAACACGTAATTATAAACTTGATTTATATTTAATCGCAATACGAAGATATGTAATATATAATACATAATATAAATGTATTTTGTAACAGATATATGTATAATATAAATGTGTTTTAAAATTATCTTTATAGATTGTTTCTTTTTATTTTTTTTACTTTAAATCATCGTTACGATGGTATAAATACATTAAATGTATATGTACACGGAAATAATGATTTTGCTGTAAGATGTAAAATTTTGCTGCATATAGATTTGAAATTCATTTTGTTGGACTATCCAAATAATTTATGTAAGAATCTGAAACATGATTGGCAATGCTGCAAAACATTTTAATATTTCAACAACTAGTTTTGAGTTTCCAACAAAATTATTTTTAGATCTGCCTTCGATAAAATTTAATATCTTTTAGTAAAATTGTTCTTTCCGTATAACAAATCTATTAAAAGCTTCATATACATTTATATCAAAAAATTCTTGTTTTCCTTTTAATTTTACATGTTTTTTAATATTCGAATACTGAAATTTAATTGAGAAATTATTTTGAGAAGTTCATAACATTTATTTCTTTTTTTAAATGCTTTTAAGTTCAAATATTAGATTTTAATAGCATGGCTACTGATACGTTGACCTTTTTCCTCCGTTAAAAATAAATGTATTAAAAGTATATTAAAGAATATTATATAAAACATTATAGAAGATTTATTAAAAGCTACTAAAAGAAGTAATTACCACTTGATTCCGAGAAAAGGTACTTAATTTCAATCAACATTTCTAAAGCTTCGAAATATTTGCGGCCGAAGAAGAGCAATCAGATGCCTAGCAAAATTCGCTTCACTTCAAAGTGTTCACTCAGTTAAATAAGGTACGTGCTCGAGATTATTCCTATATTCATGCGGTGTAATCAATTACCGAGAGTATTGAGTACGTGTCTCAATCATCACACGACATTTAATTTTACCACGAGATAAAACATCCACTTTCATGCAATTACGAATTACTGATTGCAAATGAAGGCATATTGATGTTGACGAAGCCATCCGATAACTGATGCATGACTCTGTATATGAATTTAATTATATACATACCTATAATTAATTCAACATTTCTCTAAAATTATAGCAATGATAATAGTAAAAAGACGTTCTTATTGTGGAATTAATCGTATATTACTAATCAATTTAATAATATCTACCAAATTAATTTAATATCTCGATTTTTGATGTAAAATTCAAAATGAATTATTCATGAGTTTAATTAATAACTAATTATAGATTTAGTTTGATAATATTCACTTTCATCAGGCCAAATTCTATAGAAAGAACGATTTATTTATATTAAAGAATTTACATGATTTAGATCTGATGAAAATAACTTTGTTCGACTATCAAAATAATTACGTAGAAAATTTAAGCATAAACTTTGTTACAAAAATATAAATAAAAGAGCAAAAAAGCCACACGCCGGATGTCGTTAGCGAAAATCATATATTTAAAAATTCATCAAGTTAACATAAACGTTTCGGCCAAGATGTGGCCATCTTTAGTATGTAAAATAATTAAATAAGTAATTTTTAAATATATGACTGCCGCTAACGACATCTGGCGTGTGGCTTTTTTACTCTTTTATTTATACATATATTGTATATTTAAGCCACGTTTAGTAAATTTAATTTGTTACAAAAAGTTTTAATATTTTAGCAACGAATTTGAACACGTCCTACATGATTATTTTGATAGTTCAAAAATTGTTTTCAGATCTGTATACAGGTAATTTTTTTAATCCTTTAACAAAAAACTATTTTTTTTTGTATGAAATTTTCCGTGTCTCAGATCATAAAATAGCAAAACAATATGGAAAATTTACTTAATGCGCATCCACTGAAGCATTAAAATATAATAACTTTGTATCTCCTGCTTTCAATTATTTATTAATTTGCGAATAAGTCGTTATGGAACATGTTTTAATTAAAAAGAGAGGGAAAGTGTAGAAAAATAGCGAGCAATATTGTAAGCAAATTGCGCTTTTACAATAAACTTCATTGAATTCCCGGCGATAAGTGTGATGCACTCAGACTATTGATCGGTGGTTGAATATCGAGGTCGTACCTGAATACTAGGTCCTGGCATTTGACGATTGGCCGTAAGTATACCTCGTCTCTGTCCATCCGCGGAAATGCAATGATTGGCCAAGCAAGCCGTCTGATTCAATGGACAGTCACCACATGATCTATAAGAAATGTCGTAAAGTCGTAATTCTGATGTCTAAAGCACATACATCAAGCAAACATCGAATACAACTGTCATGTAACGTAAATAAGACGTGTATTTTATGTAGCAATTATATCTGTTTTTTAGACAAGCATCTACGGAATAAATGGAATTGTTATACCATCTTCTATCAATGCACAAAAACAAATCAGCGAAATAAAACTTCTAAAAAAAGCTTTTTTTATCTATTTGTTTTGCCATTGATCTTTTAAAATGTTTAAAAACGCACGAAAATAAATCAAAATTGCAATTAAAGAAAAACAATCTAATGATCACAATGTTTCAATTGAATAAGGCAATTAGCCTTATAATTATATGGACTATTTGCATGATTTGTAAAAGGTGGAATAAGGCGAATTATTTATATTATTTATTTATAGATATATTATTACACATATTTTTTAGTAAAATTTTTTAGAAAATGTTATGAAAAATTACAGATTTTTTAATACTGTATTTCAAAATAATATAAAAAGTTTGGCAACAATTTAAAATCTAAATAAAAAATTATTTTAATAAGAAGTAGATTTTTTAAAACTAATTAAGATAAAATGAAAAAATTTTCACTCAAACTATATTATTGTTAAATTTAAATAGTCTTATTAAACTGATTCATATCTAACTTTATTCATTTTTATATGAAAAATATAAATTTTCAATTTCAGTCACTTTTTGCAGAGACTGTACACTTGATATATCCTTTAACTTTGCGCTTATCAGGTAATAGGTATGAGGTACCGTATGCCGATTTGATCTTCTTGATAGAAATACACAGTCCTGTGTCTAACGCGATTTGTTTTGCATGTCGGTTTCGACGGACATCGCACGACTGATCACAGGAGTCTTTCGTATTACATCGGTTAACGCTTAAGAATTGCATAACGGTTATTATATCAACGAGCTCGAAACCGTTTTTTTTGCAGCGTTATGCTGAAATAATTGCTACATTGGTTAACGTAACAACGGCAAAAATCTTTACAATGCAATGCAGCGATGTTGCAATCGCAAAAAGGAACTCTGTAATCATATCATGAAACGCACATGAAGAGAAATAGATCGTAGTTTCCTCGCGTGAGGCGATTACGATCTGAAACGTGTTTTATTAGGTATACATATAAAGATACTTTCCCTATGAGTTCATCTTTTTTTCGAATATTTAAGTATTTTTCTCGGTAAGAAATTTAGCAAATAAATTAATGTGACTTTTCACGTTAACCTTAATATAATAAAGATGCTATTATTTATAATAAAAATATTTTATAAAATAAAGACAAAAATTATAGAAAATCAACGTTGCGCAATATTTCGTAATATTTTCCTATAAGGCATTTTTGTCTAATTTTTAATCTTTCTTCTCCGATTTGTTTGCCGCTTTTTCTATTTTTCATAAATATTAATACAACTATATCTCTCGACTATATTTCTTCTTAAGAAATATAAAAAACAAAATAAGCAATTAAGAATTAATTAAAAAATTTATTTCAAAAAAATCTTTTAAAAAATTGTTTTTAATTGTGGGAGAAATATAAGAGAAATAAAAATATAAAAGGATAAAAATATTATAATTCGCTTATAATTTATTAAGTTATTAAAACACCTTCGATTATCGACATTAGCGTGATAATCAGCGTGATAATTATTTGATAAACACGTAAAGAACAAAATGGATCATATGCCTTTTAACGTTTTGCTGAGAAAAATTTCTGGTTGAAAATTAACAAAACAGAAATTTTTCAAATTAATTAGTATTCTGGTTATCTCAATTAATATTATAATGGATTCAACCAGGAAATTCTGGTTCGTTCATTTTCAACTAAAATTTCAATTAATGCAACCACACTCTTTTTCCAGTGTTCGTAACAAAGTTTTTCCTGTATCTTATATCATGAATATACGGATATTATATTCTCATAAGACAGATGTAAGGCATAACTAAGTGATTTCTGGCTTACTTGCTGAGCGATTGGAAGACTTCTAACGTGAGTTTCACTCGACAGATCATAGGCCAATCCAAATGATGACATGGTCTGTCACAGGATAGGAATGTTTGTTCTGAAAAAGAAAGATAGAAAGAGCTAAGAAAGGAAAAAATATTTTTATACTCGAAGCGAAGAAAACAATTTTCCTTGCCCCCGGCAATCGGAGGAAAAATGCAAACCGACAATCTGTAAAGATGAAAGTCCAAACTGCATAGAAAGTGCCATATAGTAAAGAAAAGTTAATGATGCGCATATACATCGGAGTCGTTGCGCAGATTAGAAAGAACATAAATGCACTTTGCACATTATTACAAATTATCGCTAACATATAGAAAAGCTGATCCCTATCATTAGAAAAAAAAATGATTTAAGCCGTTTTTAATTGATAATAAAATTCAGCTACTTATTAAAAATTCTGCATGTATTCAGTTTCTTACGTTATTATAAAAATATATTTCAATACTTTTACTGTTTGAATAGAGAAAATTAAAAGATTATCAAACTTATACGAAGCACAAGGCTAAATATATCGGCGCGTTTAATTTTTACATACTAATTATTTCAACTTACTGGGCCTATAATTGTTAACATGCAAAAACGTGGCCGCAGCGACGATCATAGTGACAACCACCAGACATCGTAAAATATACGTAGTCGGTGTCGTCACATGATGAGAAACAGATTTAGAAGAATACATCGCCAACCAACGTTGTTATCCGACGATAACAAGAGGTGACGGCATTTATTCCTTGTGAGCTTTAAAGATTGACAGATTTTGGATGAACAATTAATTTTTATAAAACATACATATATGCGTCGATTAAGTTACGAAAATTGTGAACATACGCTATTAAAGTAGCGAGTGTGTATTTTTAATAATCAATTGTCAAGGTATCATAAGTTTCTATTAATAAGAGTCAATTTTTTTAATTGGATTGATGATTTTTTGCTGAAGACTGAACCAAATGTCGATGTCAAGAATTAGAAAATGGTGATGGAGAAAACGTCAGTGGAGGAAACCGGCTCTGAAAAGAGAAGAGTATCCATTTATACAGATGAGACTGAAAGTCGAGTCTGCCTCGTTGCTTGCCTCGTTCTCGTTAGGCAGACTCCTTCCTGGTCCCGGCTTTAAAACAAGCCGTTCATCAATCAACTTTCATGAGACAACTGTGAACGAATTGCTAAGATTATATTTGAAAAGACAGAATTAACGGATGATTATTCACCGCGACTAATCACATATTTGATTTTATCAAATGCTATTTATCACGCATTAACTGCTAAAAACTGTTTCAAATTACAAGTTCTTCGTTCGGTTATAATTGCAAGTTGACAGATCACTGAAAGATTTTATAATAGATGTATATATGATGATAAATGTAACAAATAGCAATCATATTTTCTTAAATGCGCGCAAATATCTCTATTTTACAAATAAATAGAGGAAAATCAGAAGAGCTAGTAAGGTCAGGGACGTTTATGTGATTGCTTTCGTTCCCGATTAGGTCATTATCACGTAAAAGTCACGTAAAAGTGTATTATGTAGAAACCAATCTAATCTATTGTATAACATTCATATAACGTGTCGTAATCCGATCGTGCGTCTGACATGCAGAATCACATATCTGAAAGTCCTGATCGAAAGCATTATTCACACTTCACGCACGAATTTCACCACAGAAATCTATTTGATGCACGGGAGCGAATCATTATAGCGCATAGAGTATAGGATAATATATTATTAAAATTCTGTATAATAAATAATTGTTGAATATATTAATCCGTTAATTAATTTCAAAGTAGTTTACGATTTTTTAATAAAATTTGTATTTATACAAAATCTAGAAAATATTTCAAATCTGAGTCAGAGATTCTATTTTGTGCGCAATTTAATTTACAACTATCAGTGCACTGCGTCGCTGCAGTTTATTTTATTCCGTTTTTTTTTTAGCATTGGCCTTCTACATATGTAGTCTTCCGTTATAAAACGCAAGTCACATTTGCGTCAATAGGTGATCGGTGCAACGTATCCCGCAGTTAATGACTACGCAACACGCGGGAAGTTATCAATCAGAAAGCAGCGTATGTCTTTAAATAACGCGATAGAAAGAAATAAACACAAAAAGAAACACGATTAAAGGTATCCTTAACGATCATGCGCAAAAAAAACATAACGAGAAGACGTATATGAGGGAGAATATAGATCTTTATGTCACTGCACCACTGCGGACATTTACGTGGAACCGACACAACGAAACCGCGGATACAGTCGCACTCCCCGTCGTAGACTGATAGGAACACCGAGACTCCGAAATTCATGGCTGGAACGACGTTTCTCTCCCGCTCCCTTTCGCTATTTCAACGTTCCTCCTCACTTCCTTATTGCCTTATGACTGAAGCTAAGTATGCCTACGTACGCTGTGAGGATTGAGTCTCGCTTACTCGCGTAAAACTATTTAAAGCAGGTGAACTCACAAGTGGACTCTCAAAAAAATAACGATCAAAATAGCACTCAAGTTGTAATAAAAATATCCACGATAATATTTTACGAGCATTCGCTACATGGAAATGCCAGACTGCTTGTAAATTACAACGTTACTACCAACGTTTGTTTAGATTGCATCGAATAATAGGGTCATCAACAATAGAAAAATATTTTGTTACGTAAAAATGATTATTAAAGTTGATGATATCAAAACCTTTCCTCTCTCGAATATAAATTGCCTGTTACATTATTGCAAAAAATCACTATAACTATATATATGTTTGATGGCGGATAAGTTAATCGATCGATCTGAAATTATTGAAGCGATAAATGACAACGCGGCATCTTTCATTTTATATTTTATATTGATCTCTCCATCCATCTGCCGTACATTATTTTACTACTTTGAGATTGATTTTTATTAACATAAAAATAAATGCATGTCATCTTCTTAGCTGCAGCAAATTTCTTTAGCTTTTAATGTAACAAATGTCCTCAGCTTTTCTACAAAATTTCTTAGCAAAAATTATTGATCATTTTTGCGAATAGAAAATAGTCTCTCCAAAAGTGCTAGTCACTTGCTATTTAACTTGTCTCTATATTAGCTGTTTTTATTCGCGACACGCGGTTTAATCTTGTTTTATCCGTAGAAATAATTAATAATAAATTAGTAACAGTTATTTTATATCTAAATATAATTGTATGAATCGATTTCTAGTGAATGTCTTGTAAATGACAGCTCGATGATGAGTTCGAATCGGAACAACACTTGTGACCAGATATTTTTCTATCAATGGCTAATGAAATCGAAAAATGAAGCGAAATGATGTCCTAAAGATGCCTAAGGATGATTGGAACAAAATGATTTTCATAAATCACTGCACCACTGTCAATTATCGATACATGAACCCGCCGTGTAACGGCCGATATCGTCGCGCACCCGGTAGTCAACTAACGAGGAGGCCCAATTTCGTTGAAGCGCGATCGTACAAATCGTGACGTATCATTTTCCCTCTCTCGTCCAGTGGTGGTCCAGGTACTCGAAGACCAAGGACCATGATCGTATAGCCGACCGGTTTTTTACACATATCCCCGCGATTGTACCAACGCCTCGCATTTCCTACGTGGTGTTAAACATAAGGCGACCTGTATGCCCGAGATATGTGTCAGAGGCTGTGTAACGCCGAGTGAAAGTTCGCCAGCGGGCCCCCCTGTGATCGAGGGCCCCTACCATCCCCGGCACTATAGACCCCGGGTTCCATCTCCATCAGCCGACCACGCGAACACTTTCATCTCCCGACCTTTCTCCTTCATGCTGGTCCAGCCGGCGTATAGATTTCGCTTTCACTGATGCCCAATCGATTCCACTCTTACTTATGTGGATGGACAGAAACAGTCATCACGCTACTATATGGAAAACAAGTAACGTTTCGCTTTAACGGGATACGCTTAAGCTTGCGTTTCTTCGGTCATTCACTGAGATTGCGACATCGTTGCTCGATCGAGCGAAACTTTCTAGAGAGAAAGATAATCGGATATTTTAAATGTATCTGTATAATAAACTCAGATGAAGGTATGAAATCGATAAATTCGATTATTTAAGCGGAAGTATAGCTCGCGAAAATTGTTACAACATCGTATCAAAAGAATTATTCAAATTATCACAATATGTATATACAAAACGTATGTAATATAAATACAGTTTTTCTCTTTATGCGCTATTTAAGATATAAAATCAATATTAAACAATTTCCTTTTGTAGCAAAGAAAAAAAGGAAAGATGAAAGAGATATATAGATATTAGTGTTTATAAAACTCTGGAAATATAAAATTAAATACAATTGATATAAGCAAAACTTATAAGAAATATATATTGAATTGATAGAAAATAATAATAATAAAAATTAATTTTTTAAAAAGAAAAGAAAAGAAAGAAATCATGAAAATTGTAATAAAATTTATTACCTATAATGCAATGCCTCTTTTTTCTAAATCCATTTTTCAATCAAATCTTAAATTTTTTTCAAACAAGACCGCTTCTTTTCTTTAAACAATCGAATTCTTTTTAAGTTAAAAATTATTATAGATGTATAGCAAGCAAAAGAATTAAATGACAAATGTAGTAAAGCTAATTAAGATATGTTAGTCCATTTAAGCTTACAAAGATTAAATAAAATGAAAATTTGTGAAAACGACATTGCTTTGCATTTCTCTTTGCGGAAATGAATTACGGATAACATACAAAACAATAGAGAAAACGATTGTATTTCCTGTCATCGTAACAATTTAAGCATTTTCTCTACATGTTGCAAACAAACATGTTAAAGATAGTAGACAAAGGAAAGATCAGTTTCGAAGACTAATAGTCGTGTGAATCTATAAAGACACGAGTAGTACAATGGGCTTTCTATAATAAGCCATTAATACACAGAGAACAATTTTGCTGGAGTATCTAAAAATTCAGCTAGATACAGAAAGTAATCTGAAAATAATTTTGTTGGACCAAAATAACTGCATAGGACTTTCAAGCATGATGAGCAATGCTGAAAAAAGTTTTGACATTCCAATTTGAGCATCCTACATAAATATTTTGATGGTCCAACAAAATTATTTCCAGATTTGTATCCAGCTAATTTTTAGATATTTTAGTAAAACCGTCTTTTCTATATGTACATCAGATGATCAGAAGTCATCAGAGCGTATTATAAGCGAGTCAGTAGTGTATCATAAGTTAGTAATCACTGACTGCATTGAGATGGCTAAATTCTATTTCTTTATAATTTAAAACCATTTAAAACTTAGATTATGTTATGACTAGACTGCGGAACTTTATGCAAAATACTTAACTGAATGTTTTGTATAAAATGCATATTTTGCAATTTTGTAAATTTACAAAATTGCAAAATATGCATTTTATACAAAACATTCAGTTAAGTATTTTGCATAAAGTTCCGCAGTCTAGTTATGACTAATCAATTATATGTATAGTATATTGTTTGCTCTGAGAACTACTACCCTTCTAATTGACTGAAGTGTTGTGACGTAACGATCTTATGTGATTTATGCTGGATGTAAGTTTTTTAAGATTTATGATGTAATTCTAACTTATCTCTAGTATATGTTACAAGTGGTAACTAATGGCTTATTGTAGAAAACTCATTATACTTTGAAATTGATATACATTAAAATATCTTTCTCCGAATTTAATCTCTTAGTAATCTTAATGATATGAAACGAGAAGGTAAATCACTAGTTGAAATATTGTCTCACTGATTATATGATTTCATTTGATTTTATATGATTTTGTCTGATTACAAATAATTTTTTTCACTATATATGAAGTCATTTGGTAAAATATACGATTTTATTTAAATATACAATGATTCCTCATGGTTGCATACGTAATTATCGGATTATACATAGAGATTTTATATGAATTTTATAATGATTTTGAAGACTCTATCCCACGATTAAGTATTTACCTCCTCGATATGGAGGATGTTACATAAATAAAAACTTTTTTTAATACAATAATTGATAGTTAATATTTCACACAATTACGACAACTGAAGCAAACATATCGCAAAATGTGAAATTTCTACGTTTCTTTTACGAGTTATTATCTAATGCATATTAGATAACATTAAATTGCATTACATAGATCCGTAATGATATTAAGTTATCTAATCGGCATTTTAAAAAACGGTTGTCATTATCACGTCACGCCAAGCAAATATTACTTTCTAACTTCGTAAGTAATAATCGCATTCTAATCAGTCATGAATAACAATTTACATTATTTCTTTCTCTTATTTGGCATCTCTCCTTTAACTCTATTATATTGTATTTCCGTCTTCATTTGCCTGTGAAAATGCAGCAGAGAGAGTTAGTAATGCAATTATTCACTGTAACTTAACTGTAACACTGCTTGAATATTGCTCAAAGTGAAATTGCTCAGTCGTGAAATTATCGAAGTCATCAATAAGAGACTGAAGACATCACGTGAGAAAGTGAAAGACGTATCCCAAGGAGAAAATTGTATCTCTCTTTTTTTGATAAATTTTTGTTTTAATCGTTATGCTAAACAGCATTTGAGTAAAAATCTCTCAGGTGTACAAATGTTTTACTTA